TGTTGGTTTTCTCACTATGTAGGTCCTGACAATATGCTCTGAAACTCCAAGTAAAAACAGAAGCACAGATCTCTTTGCTTTTCCCCATTTCCTCCTCTGAAATGGACTTATTGACAGCTCCAATTTGCATTGGCTCCCCCATCCATGTCCAGAGATGCGACCGTTAGAAACCTTTGACTGCCAACCTGTAGGCACCTCTGCCTCTGGAGCCCTTGCTCTGCTTCAGTTTTTCCAAACAAGTGTCAATTAATCAAACAATGCTGGTTTATCTAATGAGGCAAAAGACCCTTGCCATACCAATTCATCTCAAGTGTCATTACTCAATCCCACTCCAAACTAGATGATAAGTGCCATTTCATTCCATCCAACATCCAGGGCCAACTATTTAAAATCTGAGATGAACAAGCTTACTTTCCTGTTGCTCTGTTTGAGTTTACAAATCTCCCAACTGACTGTGATTTCTGAATGGGAATGCTGAAAGTGTTTCTAAATCTCCTGATAAAAATTCTGGGAGTTATCCAATACCAGGTCATTGCCTTCGATCTTTGGAATGGCCCATTTCACAGCCAACCCCTTCGGCAAATTCAATAAAAAGGTCACACTAATGTGATCTATTCAGAATTCTGCTGTTCTGCTGTGCGAACATTTCACACTGAGCCAGAAAGATTCTTAGTTGGTCTACATCTCCTCTGTATTTCTCTGGTAAGCTTCCATAGAGTGCACCAGCACTGGCTCCGCTGCTACAGCAGCTTGTAAATTATTGACTGCACGTCCACCTACTGACAGTGCTGGAGTAAAAATGCTGCTAGCTGCTGTGGAGTTATTGGCATACTTTTGGATCTGTAATCATGCTTGAAAATTTTCCTGGTTCTTACTTAAGAAATATGAGTTCAGCAAGATTGATTTCAGGCTCAAGCCCTCAAGGACAATGCAGCAAAATCCTGATTGAATCCAATCTTTTATTTGCTTACACTTAATGGACAGAATCTTGCCAAACTAAAGCTGTAACCTTCTAATACTGCATATATCCTGAAAGAATCCAGAGTGCAGCTACCTGAACCTGTTCTTCCCCTCCCCCTCAAACCATCTTGGGACCTCACTGTCTCTTAATCTGGGCCCTTTCTGGGAAAGCTCCTATTGCCAAAACTTCTCCCCACTGCTTCTCCAGGTGTATATTCTACCACACTTGCACCCTGCCCTGCATGGCAGCAGCCACTCCTGGCCCTGCCACATTCACGCTGCATAACCTGATGGCCAGCCTGCTTGTGAGCTTTCTGGGACTTGCTTAATGACACACGATCCTCTCTTAACAACAGCAATGGGAAGCAATGTGGTCATATTATGTCAATCTTTACATGACCACATTTCTTAGTGACAGAAATCCATTCCCAATTATTGTTGTTAACCGAAGACTACCTGTTCCCGGAAAATGGGACAGAGATAGAAGCTGAGATTGTTTCTAGTATGGTAACTGCCCTGCTGCTCAACAGCCCTGGATGAGATCCTTGAGTTATCTTGCTGCTGATATTGGAAAAACTGAAATTTGGTTTTGGGAGACTAGAACTTCTGTGCCTAGGTCAGCTAGAGATTTCAGAGCCTGCGTAACAACTATGGGCATGTCTCAGATAATTTCAGCCCCAAATCACAAATGTGGGCATGTGCTAGAATTCCTTTTTAATCTAGAGTAGATGAAAAATAATTTGAATATAAAACTACAGATTAGAAAAAACCTGGCTCAAAAAGAGTAATAGTGAGAGGGACCTGACAGTGCTAGTGGACGATCACTTAAATGTGAACTAGCAGTTTGCGACAGCAGCCAAAAAAGCTAATACACTCCTTGGCTGTATAAACAAAGGCATAGAATCAAAATTACACAAAGTATTAGTACCGCTTTATAAAACCTTAGTAAAGCACACCTGGAATACTGCATCCAGTTTTGATCACAACACTACAAAAAAAGTTGGGACTTTGGAAAAAATGCAGAGAAGCGCAACTAGGATGATTAAAGGTCTGGAGACCAAAACATATGAAGAACAGTTGCAGGACAGCCACTTGTCTCAAATTGTATATGATCTCCTGTTTGGGCAGGGGGATGGACTAAAAGACCTTACTTCCAGCTCTATTCTGATTGAACAGACCAGTTCCTAATTTTCATAGTCTGTTTCTGTTGTTCCCCTCTGGGAGGAGTTACAAAGTATTTATAGCAGAACTACTAGATTCTGTAGCAGCTTTCTTCCTTATGCCATCCATCTTGTAAATTTGCAGGATTCTTTTTTTTCTGCAATGTATATGTATACATTCAAACTAGACTATGATGTTTCTCCATGTCATATATGTTTTTGTAAGTGGGTATATGCATAATGGTAATTATATTCCTAGCTCCCATAGCACACAAATGTATCACACACATCTAAATGCAAGGAGAACGTTTGCAATGTAGGTTGTTACCTTCTATGTAGTAGGATCCAACAATGAGGTTTCTACATTTTATGACAAATTGCTAGTATTGTCATATACATGCATATACCAAATATAAGGCTACTGAATCTACAGGGGAGTTAACAGCATCCTGTTAAGCAGGGGAAGGAGAGACATAAAAGTGTTCAAAACCTCAATTATCACCAGCACAAATAATTGTTTTAACATATCTACACAGATAGTATATCACAATGATTGTGTGCAAAGAGAAGTGGACTTCTGAAGCATTTCTTAAAGGGATATGGGCCCCTATCGAACTCCAGTAGAAGTTGTTACACACAGAAAGTACCATGTTATTCAAATTCAATATTTCCAGCACTTATTGCTTCAGTTGTAAAATCCACTCCATTTCAGTGGAATAAAAACTGAAAAATTATCCCAGTATAGTTATGAAATTTTGTTTACAAATGTGTAATACAGGCATGTATTAAAAGCCAGGCGTTACCAAATTTCTAAACTTGGCCCTGATAGAAAGGCAGAAAAGAAAGAAGAGTTTTCTTATTAAGTGGTATATTTAAAACATTATACTACAATATAGAAACAATTTAAATTTATTTTAAGCAAGCACATGAGAGAAGGCAACCACTCACTTTTTGACCCCAGACTATTTATTAATAATCTATGGGTCCAAACTATGACATATAGAGGGAGACAGAAGACAGAAAATGACTTTCAATGCAATCACATCAGGAGTATGCTTTAAGATTTGGCAGCGTTTCTGCCAAAATCTTAAAAAGTTTTTAGCCTCTGGAGACACCAAGTTGGGGAAAACTGTATTATAGCTTGCTCCGGGGATAGAACTAACCTGAGATTTCCCAAGATATTAACTTCAGACCTTTGTACAGCAGTTTATATTTTTGTAACTACTCAAGCCCTTGTTTGGTATAAGCACACAAAGAAGTGATTGTGTCTTCAAAAGCCACTCCCTATTATGTATAAACCTACACGAAACTTAAGAGGCAAATAACTAAACAGCTTGCATGACGATATCCAAACTGTATTGAATTTTGTTTTACTCGTTCTCGATTCAACGTGATCGAAGTTGGAGAAGAGTTCAAGGCAACCCATATCCGCTGCCACAACTAAGAGGCAGAGAACGATTTTCTACCATTTTCAACGCGCTATTGAAGAGCACGCATAAAACTCTCCCGCGCCCGCTAAGCCCAATAGAAGGCCCTAAAAAAAGGTCATGTCATCATAAACATTCACTGCATCACAAAGACGCCAGGATCACACTGTGTGCAACTGTGTTCAGCTTCTGCTTATTGGAAAAATAAGCGAGAACCCCACTCGCGCGTGATGAAACTTCAGCAACCCCAAACGGGGGCGATTTTCAAGGTTCTTCATCCAAGGCACTGCAGAAAGAATTTTGCGACAAAAGCTCGTGGGAGCCGTATCCACGCAGGGTATACATACATGGTCACTACGAAGACCCGCCTCAACCACAAAACGAAGACCGAAAAGCGAAAACAAGCAGCAAAAGTCAAATGAAAGTTACTTTATTGGGCGTGGGTGGTGGTGGAAAGAGTTGGGAGAAAACAGCCCTGCCCCCCACTCGCTCTTTTTTTAACCGTGCACAACCTGAACGTGCAACAATCTCCTGCGCTTGCAAAGACCAACAAGAGAATAGAAGAATCAACGGGGAAGGGCGGGGGGGGGAGAGAAGTGGCAACAAAATCACGCCCTGGAAAGCAATAGATTTCCCCGCCTCTCCCAACGACCGGGGCTCAAAGAATAACCCGTACGCTCAATCAGAGCTCAGCTCCGGAAAGAAGCCTAGGCGCGCCCACGACCCCAAAGCCCTGGGTGGGAAGGAAAAACCCTTACCGAAAAGGGAGAGAGTCCCAGAACAGACGAAGGGACCGCAGGGCAGCTCAGCCAGAAGCCATAATCAAGCCCTCCCTCTGTCGGTCAACGATCCAGCCGAGAGCTGCGGAAATCCCACCCCCGTTCGCGTGCCGGCTCGCGTATAGGCACAGAGGATCAAGCGGATGGCGTGGATTGGCTTTCTCTGCCTGTAACTCACAAACTGGACGGTGTTTGCGCACGGCTGGTCGCACGTGACGACTACTGGGGAGGGGCGGGGCTTGAGGGAAGCAGCCACCTCCCGAGGGATGCAGGATTGGCAAGGAGAGAAGGAAGGTGAGGATAAATGGAAGGTGGGTAGGCGATTAAGGTTAATTGCGGGTGTCTTAGAATTTGTTGTTTCCTCTGTGTCAGAATTTAATTCTGGACTACAACGATAATGAACGTGATTTTTTTTTCTATTGACGGCAATGATTGGACTCAACATTGGTCTAAGTGTAGTTTAAGCCTAACTTACGGAGTAAAATATAATTGGTAGAATTCATGCAACATATTAAACTATAAGCTGAAGTTGACAAGATTAGTGAGTGTGCCGGCTGTAATTGCACAGCATGCACACCTATGACTGAATCACGTTTCATTGGGTTCAGGGTTCCCTTAATATACTTAACTATAAACAAACCATAGAGGCTGGTTTTCGACAACATAAATCAGCAGAAGATCACACATCAGGCTAAGACATACTTGATTTTATTAAATAATGATATAAATCATTAAATGATTAGTCATATTTATTAAATAATAATTAGCTGCATTCAAACATTAAAAATTATCCATAGATTGTCAAATGACTGAGTTCGTATTTCACTAAATCATAGCAAGGATTCTGCATATGGCATCACACACTCCCAAACAATATACTATAATTGTGTCATATAATGTTCTGTATTTTTTTTTCAAAATTTTTTTTAATTAATTTTGAAATATCCCCCCGCATACAAATATAAACATACATTAATACAACTTTAGTATTATTAATTTTACAAACATAAACGTTAATATTGCAAAACAGCCCGGCAAACCCCCCTCCCCACGTCCGCCCTCTTTTCTCCTCCTTCAACCTCCCTACACATCCCACCTCCTTCCCTCTCTCTTCCTAGGGACACGGTTTAGGGGCGCTAACCGAGCATTAGCTCGGCAGCACCCAATGTTCTGTATTAATACAATAAACATCTTAAAAATTGTAATAGTATGCCTCGAACAAATAGGGATTATTATTTTCATCTTCAATATTAAGAACTCCCCCTCCCAGGATATCAAAGATTATAGGGTCATTCTTTTATATGAGAAAGAACGACATACCTTCCATTAAACAATTCCTTCATTTTGTCACAAACTGGGGATTGAAGTACTACAAGTTTGGTGAGCATCAGATGGTCAGGGCATTGGAGATAATAAAATTCATTTAGTGATTAAAATAAAATATACCTTAAGGGGGGGGGAGATCAATATACTGCAATATTAGTATTAAACAGAGATAGTCATTATTTTGTGAATTGTTAATTTTCTATTGATTAGGAGTTCTCTAACATTTAATGTAGGCTGTGCAATTGTTTGTATACAGTATTTAATTCAGTTCTGTGACATGCTTTTAATGCAAATACCTCATTCAGATGATCAAAACAACAACACTATCAAAATGCACACGTGCTAAAGCCATTACAAATTGTACAATATCCTGATATTCCTGTTAGGAAGTATAAGAGCAATCTGTGAAGAAGTCATTGCTAGTCTGAGCCATGAAGGGTGTTACTTACCGTACCTTTTACAAAATTTGGGGCCCAGGTCCCATAGGCATAGGACACAATATTGCTCAAAACATTCACATGTTAATAACAGTTAGACTGACTAAAATGTGTTTAATTTCACAGAAGGCAAGAAAACTAAATCATTTCCTATTGATAAATAGGCATCAGTATGATAAATCTTCAGAGTCAGTTAAACCTACAATTGGTGAGAGTCAGGAAAAGAAAACATAAAGGAAGTAAGATAAACATATAGGCAAAAATAGCTGGGTCTGAGAAAGGAAGAAGAGAAGCCATAAAAAATATATATAGCTGTAAAAGGAAATGGCTAGCCAGGAAAGACAGGTTGAAATGGAGAATAGAAAGATAAGCTGAATAAGATAAGAGGAAAGGCACACTGAATTGAAAAGCAGGAAAAGAACTTATTGTTTAAAATGGGGACATAAATATCTATTGAGTTTAAAATAACCATTTAAATGTCTAATTTTTCTTCTTATTATTGTATATGTGAATATGATTTAATATGTTATCAGGAAATGTGTATAAGCGAACGGAAAGAGTGTAACCTCATAGTACCTCAGCCAATGGGGAAAGAGGAGGGATGTAGCGGCCGGTGATAGGGATGAATAAAAGAAGGAGATATTTTGGGTTAAAACTTTGGAGAGAACCAAGCTTTGATAGCTTCTCTCCCCGCTTATTGCAATAAACAAAACAAAAGGCCTTCACTGTGTCTTGACTGGTTATTGGTCAGGCGAGCTTGCCTCTGGTCACAAAGGAAAGTAGCCAGGAGCACATAACACTATCATGAGGCACAATGTAACCACTTGTCCAACTTAAATCTGCTCTGAAAAAATGGAAGTAACCTACCATCAGTTTTCTTACTCTCTGTTAGTTGTAAACTAGCTTTATGGAAAAGAAATGGCTGTTGAAAATAAATATTTTCTGTAAAACAGTATCCAAACAAATATTAGACTGCTTACATATTCTCTCCTTTCTTAGTGGCAGATTAGTGTTCAAGTTGTATGATATCTTTGCACAGGAATAATTGGTGTCAGCAGACCATGACAGCCACATGTTGGCTTATACACGAAGCTAAAACAACGAGTTTATAAATAAACTGGAGTTGCAAGAAGTGGGATTTTTTTCCCTTTCTTAATACTGCAGCTCAATGCATGAGTCATTTTTTGTCCAGCTAGCAAAAGAATGAAGCAGGAAATGCACAACAAATTAGCATTGCAAGAAGTTCTATGTTCTTAATTTCTTTCTACTTCTCTTTCAGCAACAGGTGGATGCAAATTCTTAGCATTGCTTTGGCTCTTTATGGAGGCAAATGAAAAATCAAAGAAGGGATGATTTGTGATGAATTCTAATAACACACATTTCAGTATTTAAAACCTTACAATTAATGTTGCAGATCATTAGAATTAGAAATAAGGGGGGGAGTAGAAATAAACAAGTTTGTTTTTCATTTCAACTGTGTGTGTGTGTGTGTATTTTAAATCCCTAAAATACAGAACAGGAAAGTCTGAGAGATGCTCAGGGAAGTGTCTGCAGTGATAGTAATAATTGTGGGTGCTATATCAGGAAGATCTGGACTATATATTAAAAATTTTTTTAAGTGCAATAAGAATGGTTAGCAAAAAAAAAAAACCCTGAACATTTGAAAACCATTCATTATTTTGCTCTTTCTGGAGTGCTAATTAGAATGTATAACTTTCTTGCAAATTTTGACATTAGGAAAAAAAAAAGTCCTTTCAGTCATTGTCAATTTCTTAAAACATTCCTAATCTCATAACGAACGGGTGAAAGAACATTTGTTGTTTTCATTGATATGCTTGTTGGAGTTAATTTATTAAAAATAAAGAACATTATAGATCTTGTATTGTTTTAATTGTTTTAAGTGACCAAACTGGGATAATAATCTTAAGAGGATCTTAAGAATTTAAGCGGGAACAGAGGGGGGAAAATGTAGTTCATACATATTTTATATTAAATAATTATTTTTTTATTTAACTGCATTTTCGTTCCACTTTTTAGATAGACAATAGTCTTCCCAACAACAACAACAAGAACGAGAGAAATCCTGTTATTTGGGTTTCAAATTAAAAAAATATTAGGATATATAAAAGAAATGGGAGTTAAGAGAGGCTGTCCCCCTTCAAACAGCGGGACATCTAGACTTACTGCTGGTATACCAGAATGTAGCAGTGGAAAGGTAGTCAAGGGCAGATTTGGTTTCAGCTTTCTAGAGGCAAGATGTACATGAAATCAAAAGGCCAGAAAATATGCTATAAAGTTATACCAGGCAATAGGACTTACAGAACAATAATTACAGTTCCAACAATAAGTGGAACCATGAATCAAAATGGTTTCATTCTCAATGTTTCACTTCAATGTTTCTTCAGCAAACTCCAATTCCTGTGGTTGTTTTTTTACAGAAAAGGGAAAATAATTGTGCTTCCCTTTTTCTCTCATTGAGGGAAGTCAAAACTATTGTGCTTCTACTGTTATTGTCAACTAGACCATAATAATTTTCAACCCTTTATTGAAGGGAAACCAGACCACAGCAATTTTCAACTCTTTTTACTGAAGGGAAATTTATTAAAGATATGATTTTTGAACTAGAAAAGAGAGTATTGTATTTGACACTGAGTTCAAACTCAGAAAAGGGAAAATAATACTAGGGTTGTTAAAATATTTGCATTTGTGATTCACTGATAAAAATAAATATAAAAATAAGTGAATGTAGAAAATGAGGTATTAATTAGATTATTAAATGTACCTGGAAAGATGTTTGGCAAAAATCTGATTCAAAGAATATAAAAGATAGCAAGAGGCAACATTTAGAAAGTGTTTTTTGCTAGACATTGGTCTGTAAACCATATTTGTACTTTTTAGTCACTGAGTAATATATGAACGACACAAGACTCATTGTACATTTTCTGCTTCAGAATAAGCCTCTATTATGGAATGTTTTGTGTGAATATAATGTTGAAGGCTGATTGGTGAATTCTTCAGGAACAATATGTGTCTGAAGTAAAGCATGGTGAGAGTAAATAAAATGCTTTGTGAATGATTTAGCATTGAGCAGGGAGTAAGAAACTGATATCCTATGGGTTGTTGAGTGTGTTTATTGATATATTATGTCAGTTTCTCATTTGATAACCAGGGAGGCCCCAAATCTCTTGGCCTTTCAGAAAGCTGTGAAGCCTGGGGTCCTCTCCCAGAATCTTTTTCCTCCTTATAGACAGAAAAAATATTTCCCTTTTCTAAAGGAAATAGTAGAGTACAAGAATATAAAATAGTTATACATTTGTTTTCCCCACCATTTTCTTATATATGTATCGCTGAAAATCTCAAGCTGTTGCCAGATCCTGTTGGTTTCCAAACTAAGCTGGCAAGGCTAGTCACATTAACAGGTTTACAAAGTTGTCATGGTAACATGAGTACAAAGCTTAGATTTCATTACAAAAAGTTTAAAGATTGTTATGAACAATTAGGTAAATAATTTAAGCCAAGAGATTGTATTTTGAGCTTAGATAAATGTCATTGAGCAAATACTGCTGTATGATTGGCTGGGACCAGGCATATACATGCTGAAATCTTGTTCATGCTTGCCTTGGTCAATACGTGGTTTGAAAGTTTAATCAGGTTTCTAAAGCAAACTTTTTTTTCTTTTTAACTCAGCCTATGATCAAATTCTTCTTACTGTTTCTCAGATTCCATGGGCTGGCTGCTTCAGAGGATTTTCCAGGGTACCTTTTGTTTTTAAAGAAGGATGTGCAAATTTAGACTGGATACTTACAGCACAAAATTGGGGGCAAGTTGTGCAAGTTTAGACTGGATACTTACAGCACAAAAATTTTTCACCTCTGTTGTGGTAAGATGAGGCTTATTAAATACATTTGAAGAATTCAAATAACATCTTTCAAAATGAGAATATTTGTTGCTTTTGAAGGACTCTGTGAGTCTTTTGATATTTCACCAGAGAATACTGTGCAAGATGTAAAACTGATGATAAAGGTAAGAACTTGATCTTTATTAAATTGCTTCTTTTTTAGAACTTTTGACTTTCTGTCCATGTGAAAAATTGAAATCAATAATAAAATTCACTGCCAAAATGAAGAGAAATCTCTTTTACGGCATATACAAAGCTTTTTGTGAAACAAGGAACTGTTGTTTAAGTTACTATCACTAAGTTACATGAAACTAGAATTGTCTTATGACTTTTTTTTCCCTTTTGAGCAGTTACTTTCTAGAAAATTAGTCTGCAAATAATTTGAAAACTCAACATACATTATATGGGAGAGTTGTTTATTTTGTTTGAATGTGAGAGGTTAACAAAGAAAAAAATAACTAGTAACATAAGCTACATGAGTAGCATATTTACACAGAATTCATTGGAGCTGAAGTACATAAGGAACCTAAGGATTCCTGTGTTTATGGTTTAGTATTATTTCCTTTAATTGCAGAATACAAACCAGATAGAGAAAGCATGCAGAACCTGGCTCTTGGGATTTTTTTTTCAACTCCTTAATAATAGCCCTGCTCTTAGTCATGTGAGAAAGCAGACTTAGAATGAAACAGTCAGCAGCATTCTGAGCAACTGCCCAAATGCTTCTCTTAAGAGCAGTGGTGGTGAACCTATGGCACGCGTGCCAGAGGTGGCACTCGGAGCCCTCTCTGTGGGCACGCGAGCTGTTGCCCCAGCCCTGCCTCCCCCCACAACCCCCTCCTCACCAGCAGCCTGCCTGGAGGAAAGTCTCCTCCAGGCGCGGCCCACGCGGAGCAGCACAGCCAAGCACTTGGCAGCCAGGCAGCATGGCCAAGACTCCGCCCTCGTGCCCCATCACGTGCAGATGATGCTATGGGGTTCGGGTGGAGGGCGTGGCCGCCATGGCGCTGCAAAGCCACCTGGGCGATCTGTGGTGAGTGGCCCTGCGGGGGGGCGGAGCGGGGGCGGGCCGGGGGGGCGGTTTTTGGGCACTCGGTCTCCAAAAGGTTCGCCATCACTGTCTTAGAGAAATACACTGAGGGATTTTTTTTCCTACATGTTTTTCTCTGCTGCCCCCCAATCTTGATTTGGCCTGATTTCAAACTCAATTATTTTTTTTTTCAGATTCTCCCCACCAAATTTTCTCTTGTTCTATTCCAGAGGTCCTCAACCTTTGGGGCACCAGGGACCAGTTCCATGGAGACATGTTTTCCCGCAGACCGGAGGGTGTGTGGTTTTGTGTGCTGCCTGCATCCCACGGATGGGGCTTTTGTTTGTTTGTGAGGCTCGGTTGCTGGCATGCCACGGGCCGGTACTGGTACACGGACCAGGGGTTGGGGACCCCTGTTCTATTCAGTTTTTGCAGAGTTACCTTGCTGATAAACATAAAAACAGATGAACAAAGTCCATTTGCAACATTCTGTTGGGTTGAAAAGAATAGAAAAATAAAATGTCATCTTTTTCATCTTCATAATTTATTATACCATCATTAAACTTATATCAATATGTGTGAATATGGCATAGCAAAATAGCTACATACAAAGAGTATGCACACTCTGCATTCCTTTTAACATGTTTGCTCCAAATGATGCCTAATTAAATTCAAAGGGATTCCCTATGAAGGGCTGAAACTAGCAAGGAGAGGACCATACACTTCTCAAGCTGGAGAGAATAATTATGTAAACATCCCTCAACTGCAGCTGTTTTCCGTGACCTTGAAGAGAATGCCATGGTATCTCAAAAAGTAGAAGGAAAACAAATCAAGGACTTAAACCTGGAGTATAGAACATACGCACACACACACACACACACACGCTTTAACTGATGTGAATTGCAGATTTTTTTTGTTTGTTAATGACTCTTTTCTGCAGTAAAACTATTTATTACACCATGAAGGCTCTGCTGTAACTACACAGTAGAATTTAGAGAAGCCTGACTGTGGGCATAGGATTGCAACTAAAACAACTCAGTCCTATGTAACTTAACTTTACTTATAGAATAGTAGAAACCATTGAGTAAAAAAAAAAACAGATTTAAAACAGTGCATATAAAAAAATTCAGACCATTAATATTACCAGAACAGAGCCTGGTGCTAAGAGCCTCCACACAGAAACAACAAGATTACAGGATCTGGTGCTGCATCTTCCACTGCAAGTACAATGGGACCATTCACATTGATTCCAATGCAAGAGCAGAAATCATTGTTACTGATTCAAATTTTTAGCTAAATACGATGTAGTCCTAGAATATTATTCAGAGAATTTTGGCTGTGGCATGTTTATATTAGTTATGCGCATAGGAAAGTACCTTATACCAAAATAAAGCACTGATTTATCTAGCTTAATATTTGCATTCACCTTCTTCAAATCCTTGCCCTTTGAATGCATTGGACTTTAACTTCTATATGGGATGTTGTGTAGGATAATGGAAATTGAGGTCTAGTGCAGGGGTCCCCAAACTGCGGTCCGTGGATCACTACTGGGCTGTGGCCTCCTGGCCATCAGACTGCGGAACAGGCTGGTCAATGCGTGCACTTACCCTCACTCATGCTAACACTGCTTCCGCTATGCAAATGGGGTGCTGTGTGGCAAAAATGGGACACCGTGCGGCAAAAATGGGGCACTGCTGCTATGCAAACGAGGTGCTGTGCAGCACAAAAACGGCACCGTGCAGCGTGAAAACGGAGCACCACGTCAGCGTGAAAACAGGGCAGTGCTAGTGAGTGTCATGCAGGCACTAGCACCGCCCTATTTGCATCGCGCACGCTCACGGCCCCGTTTGTGTGTGTGTGTGTGTGTGCGCGCACATGCATAAAATGCTTCTCCCTCCCTTTCCCTCAGATCCGCCAGCCGAGAAAGGTTGGAGACCTCTGGTCTAGTGCAATAGAGAGTGACAGATTGAAGGAAACTGGTCCACACTGACTGATAATTGTTCTCCATAATTTCAGAAAAAGGTTCTTCAGCTCTACATTTGGATGCCAGGGATAGAGCCTAAACATTCCATATGTAAACCATAGCCCTGTTATTGAGTTCCAACCCTTCCCCATAGTTCCTACAACTATGGCTATTGAATGATAACTTGGATAGTACCTTGAACTTTTAGTGTCTATGTTTTTTTTATAAAAAATAATAATCTGTTTTCTTTTGTTAAGGATTATTTTCATGTTCCACTTTCTGAAGACAAAAAGGGCAGGAGATACTTGGAGCTGATATATGCAGGAGCAGTACTAAAGGACAACTGGGTACTTGCTGATGTAGGCATTACAGTTTCTTCCTCAATTAAATGTGTCATCAAGGTATGATTTAAAAAGAACAAAAAGGCTGCCTACTACAGAAATTCTCTCTCTACTTTATAGAACTTATGCTAGCATCACTTAAGAGTAATCAGAAGAATCTGATGTTCAAATGAAATACAGTAATCTTCAAATAATAAAGCAGAATGCATAAAGACAATGAGAATCCTTAGTCTCATTCTGATTGCAATGAACGTTTAAATGTTTTAAGAAGTTCTTTCATATGAACAATTCATATATTTTTGGGGTATGGTATGCTATGTATTCTAAAATTTGATTTGTTCATCAGTTGTTCTCCGTCATTGTCTGTGGTGAAAAGCATGATACTATGCCTAATAAGAGTGATTGAGAATGGTGGATGGAGGTGTATATCAGGTTTAATGGAATCTTCAGCAAAAAAACAAAAACAGTCTTTGGTGGAATCTGATAGACTCCTCTAGTGGCAGCAGTACGTTTCCAAAAGAACATAGCTCATCCTCACATCCCTTAAGTGCAGCATGAAGATACCCACTAACTGTTTTTAGAGCTTTTTAAAACTGTCCTCATTACACAGTCTTAATCTCAGGCCCAGCTGATAGGTTTCAGTTAGAGCCAAGGTTGTATTGTAAGGCAGAAAACAGCATACCCAAAACACCATCTTTCTCAACCTTTCCTCCTTCTCTGCAACCGGTCCTTCAAACAACGCTTGAATACAATTCTAAACATAGCCCAGTGGGATGGAGACTGGATTGGGGATGAAACAGGTCCAAGTGGGAGGGTGACAGAGGGGAGAAAATGAGGAAGTATATATAACGACATTACAGTACAAATCCCACAATAGTGGGTATTATACTTGTGTACATTGAGAGAAAAGTACAAAAGGCATAATTCATCTCTTTTGGGGGGTCATTATGGCAGTTCATACCAGGTGCTTATGGGAGGGAATTTTCCTGATATGCCTTGTACACTTCTTCTGCTTCCCCCTAAACCTTTCTGTTGCCCTACCAATCTTCAACTATTTTTGGTCATGATTTTACTGGTCTTACAAAATTAGCTGCAATCATACTTTTCTGTCTGCTTGAGGAACAGAAGGATACATACATAATTTTGTGTAAGATAGAACCTTGACTAAATCATGGTTATACCATGACTGCAGTGTGGAAATGAGATATGACTTATGTGCCATAATTGCACATTATTTTTTAAACTATAAATGAGGAATTGCTGTGCCGGGATGTGAATACTGGTTTAATCCAAATGTTTGTTAACAAATATTGTAGATAGCCTTTTCTTCAAAGAGGAAGGAAAATAAGGAATTCTCATTTTTTTCTTTGAAGCTAATATATAAATAGGGAAGGGAAAATTGCTTGCAACTAAATTGAGAAACCAGAAATTATTGCTCCTGTCTTGCTTATTTTATCAATTCAGGAGTTAGTTAGCCAAAATGATTGTTCTTGGCACAACGTTACTTGATACATAGGACATAAAAACAAGAAAAGCATTAGAGCTGCTGTCTTTTTCTCAATCTAGTCTTTGATCTCAGCATGACTTAATTTCTAAATAAGGCAAAAAAAAAATTAGACTAGAAAGGAACTGCATTCATACAAGTTCATTAGTAATTATAGATGTCCGTAGCCAAGCTTTAGATCCCCCATGAGAAACAAGCACTTCCATTGCAACTCTCTTAATTATGGAAAATATTCTATATGATTTCTGGCTTCATACTTTCATTCTGAGAAGCGTTCTAGTGATTATTCTCATTCTTGAGATGGAAATTAAGCCTGGAAAAAAAGAATGTTCACATTATCCAAAGACTACCAGAACTGATCTTAAGAAGGTACAGTTTTAAACCTAATTCTCAGAGCATATACAGCATTGTTCAAGCCTAGGGCTACATTGGTCCTTGAATGGCATGATAAGGCTATGCTTCACAAGGTGGGTAGAGTCAGGAGGAAAAAAAATCACAATCTAATTCATTTTATTTACAGTTAATAACAAATTGTTATCTACTGTAACAAATTGTAAGAGAAACCTTACTGCCTTAGCTATATATGTGAGGGCCATTTCTTGCACATACATTCAAAATTGCCTTTCTCAAACCAATGTCTACCAAATATTTGGACATTCTGACTAGGAGTTTTAATTATAATTGTAGAAATGTAGTGTTGTAGTTCAACAAATCTAAAGGGAACTAAATTATTGAAGACATGTCATATACATTATGTTTTTTGTTCATTAATATTGTTTTCTCCACCAGGAAGAAGACAAGCCAATTTTCTATGTATACAATGCGGTCACTCATGAAAAAGTGCCCATAAGGGGAAGGATTTATCTTCTTTCATCAAAGGTCTCGGAGCTGAAAACTTTAGTGACCTTGAAATGTGGTTTTCCAAGTAGCATTTATTGTCTCAGGACTCCAGAGGGCAGGGAGATGTTTGACTGCAATACTCTGAACAATTATCAGTTAGATATAGGTATAAGACTGTTTGTATATTATATCTGTTTTAGTTGATAAGCATAGGACCTTCAAATCTTATCTAGGTTACTCAAAATTGTAGTCTAGATGTCTTTATCTCAGATGGTTTATGAGTCACAGTGAATCTAAAGTAAGCTATTTCTGAGTAGCCATATACAGAACTATATTATAAGAAATATTTACAATTTTACTGAGAGAAAATGAAATACGATCTTCATATTTGGCAGTGCCATATTACTGTCTTTTCAAATCCTAATACCCGCACATGATTGACTATTTAAAAATGTTAGAACATAAGCAACTGATAAGCAATTAAAATTGAACATTTTGAAGGATGTTTATAGTTAGATAATTTAGCTATTCTTCAGAATTAATATTGATTCAGTTTCACATTGTATCCATAGTACTATGTAAATAAGTCCTTTTCTAAATCTAAACTTCACTTTTCCTGCTATAGTTCATGTGATTTTTTTTTAGCTTCTCTGCTACTATAGATATTAAAATCTAGTACTTCAGAAGAGAATGAGTGGTACCTTCTAACCAACAAAGATAGAAGCAAAACTAAATGACAATGTTTTCTGTTAACAGGCACAACTCTTCATTTGGATGTTTGGAATGGATGGAGAGAATTCTTGACCAGCTGTATCCTAGGAAGCAAACCCAAGATCCAGTACTATCTGTCAAAGGAAGAACCAATACTCAGGTATGAAGATTCAACATACACTTTTCAAAATTCAGTTTTATTTTAGATGAGAATATTTATTCCAAGATAGTCATTAAGTGGTGAGAACTGAAGGATAGAGGGACTAGATGAAAAGAAAGTGAAAGTTAAAATCAAGAAGGTCAAGTCTTCTATTGCAAGATTGTACCTATTTTGCCTTTGCTGCATTGGTTACAATAGGCTTCCAAGTTCGTTTTAGAGTGCTGGTTGTTACTTATAAATCATAGTGCTGGGTAACATCAGCGACTCTTTATGTAAATGCATAGTGACTTCTCTACTGTAATTGTGGTGACACGTGATTTTGGAAATGCTATACCAATTTTCTTTTGTACACACGTTCTTTCAGATATCAAAAGAAAGTAGCTCTTTACATGGCAGCCTTTTTCGGACACCTTCAGGTTTCAACTTGGCTCCTGAAAAAGGGAGTGAAGCCCACTGAAACAATAGGTGTACATCCTTATCGTGAATGGTGCCAGGAAGACGATCATTCCAACAACATGAAAAGTCCCGTTCATGCAGCTGCAGAAGCAGGCCAACTTATGATACTGAAAGCATTTGTTAATTACAGTGCCTTATCCCTTGAATGTCAAAATTCTGCAGGGCAGACTCCATTGCAGCTATGTATCCAGCACAGACATAAAGATTGTGTAATGTATTTAGTCACCAAGTTATGGTCAGTGGTTTCTTACCCTACATTCTCTCTGCCCATGAAAATCTATATTAAGTTAAAGTTGTGGCTTCTTAAATCTCAAAATAATATCTATTCAACCAAGAAGTGTAACCCTGCTGCAGTCTTCAGAACACGAGTTGGGGATGTTGTCTTTGTGGATGGTTTCACAAAACCAGAAATGACCTCCAGAGGTTTTTGCTCAGCCATGATCAAACATGCAAGCAGCAGAGGTTGCACACTCCCAGATTTAAATAATCGCTTTCAACATGAGCAATCTTGGTACCATGTGACCATATCTGATAGGTACCTCAAGGAGAAAAATGTTAGATTTCCTCCAGTGGCACACTGCCAAAAAAGGAAGTCTAGGAAGAAGAACACACGGCTTAGTGAAGAATATATGGACCAAAATATGTGTTTAGCAAGAGTTCCTCTACCTTCTAATTCTGTCCTCAAGCCAGCTTATTATTATTCCATACCTAATGTAGAGTTTCTGCTAAATCCTTCTCTGGACTCATTTTCAAAATACTGTGGAAGAACTCCAAGAGAGAATGCAATTTACTGCTTAGCTATAGCCAGGTATGTATCAGTCTTTATTCAGAAATACTATAAGTTAGAAAGTGGCATCAGAAGTTTTTTTTTTTCTTGTGGAGATCTTATGCTTCCATTCCCAGTCTTAAAGAGGTGCCTCTATCCCAAAATTAAGCTGGAAAACCTGTGGCAAAAACAGTGAGTTGTTGCCATAATTGACAATGTGATTACACAGGGCCAGGGGGCATCAACCCGAATGTTGAGAGGCCTGCATGTAGACCAGGGGTGTCAAACTGCCAGCCCGCGGGCCGGTTTCATCCTACCGGAGCTGCACCCACCCCATTGCTGGCAATGGCAAAAAAGCTCCGATACGTTGCGCGACGTCACATGACGTCGCGAGTTTGACATGTCTGATGTAGACTACAGTCTACCCAGCCTTGGGCCTTTTTTCTGTGACAGAAGTATTCAGAACATTTTACAAATGATACAGTTTACCACATCACCTGTTTGACCTGGGTAAAGGTAAATAACTGGGTATCATTAGCATACTGAAGATACCAGAATCTATGTGACAGGTTATCTGTCCCAGCTGCTTCATGTAGATGTTAGAAAGAAGTGAGGAGTGCTTCATAATTAACCATCACGTATTATTGCCAATTACAATTATCATTTGGAGGAGCTGCTGAAAATCTAAACATTCTGATGAACAGATACTGCCATCAAGTGGCAACAGTAATTTCAGTAAACTATAATCAGCTTAGAAAGGAGTGGGGGAGTCTGGTCAATGCTAAGCATGTTGATTTTAGCTGATTTGCAGAATCATGAAATATATTTTTTAAAAAAACTATTAAATAAATAGTGTGGATTGTCCTTTCCTGAAAAAATGTTTTTTGATCCACTTCATTAGACAACATCTCTCAAGTTTCCAACATTCTCTAGGGAGAAGCTTCTGAGAAGAGGTTAGGGCAGGGGTAGGCAACCTTGGCTCTTTTATGACTCGTGGACTTCAACTCCCAGAATTCCTGAACCAGCATGGCTCAGCTTGGAAACTCTCCCTTTCCCCTCAGCATGGCTGGCTCAGGAATTCTGGGAGTTGAAGTCCACGAGTCATAAAAGAGCCAAGGTTGCCTACCCCTGGGTTAGGGAATCAAATACAGAGGATGGATTAGTTTTTGCTGTTCAGTGCAGTATGTCAAATCCAAAAATACATTAATTTAGCAACCAATTTATTTGTGTTTATTTATTTTATGATACATATATATTGAGGGGGCACAACAGCTCAGCAGTTAAAGACACTGAGCTTGTCAGCTGGAAAGCTGACAGCTTGAGTATGCGACAGGGTGAGTTCTTGGTACTGGCTCCAGTTCCTACCCATCTAACAGTTCGAAAGCATGCAAATGCAAATAAATAGGTACCACTTCAGTGTGAAGGTAACCTTTACCTTTATATACTGTCTATGTATCAAACTATGCAAATCACAGTAAACAAGTGTATCTTTGAACATTAGCATAAATAACATATCACAGAGTGGAGTTTTCTCCCAGGTACTTATCTTTATTTTCAGAGTATATTTTCTCTTAATCTGTACTAGGAGTCCAGACTCAACGTTATCACACTTAACTTTGTAAATGATGGAATAGTTGGGGTGTACTTGTTTTTGTGTGTGTTTATAATTAATTGATATCTTATATATGGCCTCAAAGTAACAAATGTCTATGTCTTTTATTGCAGTGAATTTAAAGAGAAGCCTTGGCTGCAACAATTGGACATTGCAAGAACCCTAGCTAGAAAAAGTGTATGTAACCCTACATACTAAGAAGACTCAGATGAAATATATATAATAGACTAACCAAAAAGGTTTACAGAAACAATGCATCTTGCATTGTTGCTATCTTAATACATATACTGAGAATACTGGAATATTCCCTTTTCCACTCCTTCCAATGCCATTGAAGTGCCATTCACATTTCAAAAGGATTAAGCATGACAAAAGGTTTATATAAATATGAAGCAGTAATACATAATTTTGAACATTTTGGATGACTCCTATTGGGGATTCTTTAAACAGAAACATTGTAGGCAACCTGCACATTATTTTTTCTGAAGATTCATCTGAAGCAATGGCACTGAAATGGAATAGGTTGGAGACTTTGAGAAAGATGAGGGTGAAGGTTCGTTCTCCGAGCTTGTGGGTTGGTTTCCAAACATTTTGTTACCCAGTTGGTAACATGTTCAGCAGGGTTTAGGGCAGGGGTAGGCAACCTCGGCTCTTTTATGACTCATGGACTTCAACTCCCAGAATTCCTGAGCCAGCATGGAATGAATTCTGGGAGTTGAAGTCCACGAGTCATAAAAGAGCCGAGGTTGCCTACCCCTGGTTTAGGGGATGGAAGTGCCAGTGTTCCTCTGTTTATATTCTGTTTAACTTATAAACAGAAGAACACTGACATCCCCCTAAAACCCTAAACTGAAGATGTTACCTAGACTGGTAACGAAATGTTCAGAAACCAACCCACAAGCTCGGAGAACAAATTTTCACCCTCATCCTATACCCGAGCTACAGATATTTGTCACTATTGCAAACCTTGAGAAAGATTGTGGTGGGCAAAGAAGTTGGTATTCAGAGGAATCCCCTGAATATTAAAAATAATCTTAGCTTACATATTATGTGGATGAAAATATTTTGCATGTCAAAAAGTACTATCATCGTAACTTGAAGATTGATAAGTCTGAATTCTACTATAATGCCATTCCCAAATTAGTCAGATATAATTGATCCTAATTTATAAAACATTTTTGATCCTTTTGAAATGTATTTCTACTACTTCTTAGAATTCATATGTTCCTATTAAATCATTATTGACATATCAATTATCTTTTGTATTAATTTATTGAGTTGAATCTACTTGGAGAGCAATAAGTTATAGCAGTTATGGGGGTGAGGCAAGATATGCTGGAACTTTATTGCCAGAAACACTGCTATTTCTATGACCTCTTACTGCAAGAGAGAAAGGAAAATCTAATAAGTGAGAGCTGGAGGTTCACTTATTCCATTTCCAAGATGTTGTACACTTTTCCTTTTTTGATGCCATTAAACCTAATTCATGAAATTCTACAGCATGTGAATTGCTTTCACGGTCATGTATTGTTATTTAAGGGTTTAATATGACTGGAGTATGCTATCATTGGAGGGGTGGAGATCTGACTGAACAATCATACCCAAAGTGTGCTTATCAATGTCTCTTTGTCATTTGAAAACTTTTATTGCAATTGCTGTTCTGTTGGGTTTTTTTTTTGTTTTTTTTTACGTTTTAGGGGGTTGTTAGCTACCCAGTGTTGTATAGCAAGTGAATAGCTGCATGGATGGATGGATGGATGGATGGATGGAAGGAAGGAAGGAAGGAAGGAAGGAAGGAAGGAAGGAAGGAAGGTTCAAAAGCAGGGGTATAGAATTGGATAGGACCATTCTGAGCAGCATGCAGGTCTAAATGCTAAATGTGATGCCACTGCAAAGGGACAAGTACCCTCCTTGCACTATACCAATAGGAATAGTGTCATGATCAAGATAAACCATTGTTCCTCTCTACAAATAGTCCATGACTTATGACTATTTGTTTAACACCATTTGAAGTTAAGACAGTGCTGGAAAAAGTGGTGGCCGGTCCTCACACTTATGACATCACAATGTCCCCAAAGTCATGTGATCAGAATTTGGGCATTTGGCAAGTGGCATATATTTACCCAAGCATGCCAAGGCTGTGTGATTACCTTTGGTGACCTTTCAAGAGGCTTCCGACAAGCAAAGTCAGTGGGGGAAATGATTGCTTAACAACAGCAGCAAAAAAGGTCTAAAATCAAGTGTGACTCACTTCCATTGCTTAGTGATGGAAGTTCTGGTCCCAATTGTGATTTTAAGTTGAGGACTATTTATAGTTTGCATTAGTTAGATCAGGGGTCCCCAACCCCTGGTCTGTGGACCGGTACCAGGCCATGGCATACCAGTAACCGGGCCGCACAAACAAGCAAACCCCCATCCACAGGATGCAGGCAGCACACAAAACCACCACCCCCTCCGGCCTGCGGAAAAACCTCTCTCCACATAACCGGTCCCTGGTGCCCGAAAGGTTGGGGACCTTTGGGTTAGATGACATCTGGAGTATTGTATTTCATTCTAAGCTGATTTTAGGAAAAGCAAATCTGAAGAAAACTAAATAATGGAGAGAACAGTTGTACATATTGAGTATTTTAGGCTTGAGAACACTTAAGGGAAACATTTTTATGTAATAAAGAAGATAGAAAAGATTTTTTCAGTTCTGGATGACAGGACAATAATGCATTTAGATCACAAGGAAGTACATGTCAAGTTCCTTCTGAGAAGCCCAATGAAGCAAAACACCAGAGGCATTGCGTTCTCTAATGTTAACTTTATTAGGCACTAGCTGTACCCGGCCACGCGTTGCTGTGGCTCAGTCTGGTAAAAGCGTGTGTTGCTTTTACGTCCAACAGATGGCGCTGTTTTTCAAAAAAAGCATGTTTTTACTTGTCACAGCTGTGACATCTATATAATATAGGTATATAAAAACACGTGCGTATTCGAATGCAACATTTTGTCAAAATTTCAAAGCAATCGGTGAAGAACTTTTGGAGATTTAAGATTTTGAACAAACGAACATTTACATTTTTATTTATATAGATTAGCAAACTGTTACAATAGAATTAAAGCTAGCTGTGAGAAAAGAATGAGAAGCGGTTAATTAAAAGAATGAATCTTTCCCTCCCCTCTCTGACAGTTCAGGTCACATTGTCCAATATATCTTCCAGTAATTATGAGAAGAAACTTTAGTTCGCCAAAACAACTCTTCAATGATTTTGGGTCTCATGTTGATAAGGAACACCTGTGTATTCAAAACTCTCCCCTCTTTTTCTCCCGCACTATTGGCAAACTAGAAGCATGCAGCCATCCTAAAGACAGTAGATTTCGTAGCTTGACAGTACATTTCAGTTAACCATCCTGAAAACATTCCTAATGGTAAAAGCAAGTCAATTTGGAGCAAATTTTGTGCTGTACACAGGTAGTCCACAACTTAGAACAGTTCATTTAGTGATCATTAGAAGTTATAATGGCACTCAAAAAAAGTGCCTTATGATTGTTTTTCACACAACTGCTACAATATCCCCATGGTCACATGATCAAAATTCAGAGGCTTGGCAACTGACTCATTTATGATGGTTGCACTGTCCCAGGGTCATATGATCACCTTTTGCAACCTTCTGACAAGGAAACTCAATGGGGAAGCCAAATTCATTTAATAACCATGTTACTAACTTAACAACTGTAGTGATTCTTTTAATAACTAGGGCAAAAATTAACTGTTGTGCTTCGTAACAGAAATTTTGGGCTCAGTTGTGGTCATAAATCAAGGACTACTTGTATTGTCTTTTTTAGAGGCATTTAAACAGACTGGATAATCACTAGTCAGAGATGTACAGTGGTCACAAATTTCAGCAGTGAATAGGGAAGTGGATTAGATTATTTCTTTTTTAAAGCAGGTATTTATTACTAATATAATTTCAAAAAAAGGAAAATGTATAATACTGATACAAATACTTTTAAAATATAGAAAATGTGGGGAAAAAGGAAGGAAGAGGAGAAAAAAACAATGAAATGCAGGTGGGTATTTAACAAGGATGCAATATTGGTCAGTTTTAGCACATCTGAGCCAGTATATCAGAAATGTAACTAAAATCTGGTTTTATCTAAAGCAACCTCACATTGTTCTAAATTACCTTCTTTTATCCCTTACTTTTAATGTGTTTTACTTTTTGTTTGCTTTGTCTGATATTGCCAACTCCAGGACATCACATGATGGATTTGTATGCAATACTTTGCTGAGTTTATTTTTAAGGAGCCTGACCAAGAACACGTCTTGAATAATTGTTACGTACTTTTTTTCTCCCTCCTGCCTTTTTGGGAGGAGACAAGCATACCTCGTATCAGCAGGATTCCAACACAAAATATGGCAAGTTTATTCCTTAATTGCAGGCCCTGTCATAAGCTCTGTAAAACATGATTCATAGCTCTGCATGGCTATGAACCCAGCTAATTGTGGGGTGTTCAATAAATCTTATTTTAATGCTACAGATTTTAATTCAGGACACTTTACCCGTCCACCAAAACGCTGTGCTTCACATTTTCAGAAGAAGACTCTCTATAAGCGAACCTGTTAGTAATAAGTACTGTGTAGTCATGCTCAATATTAAATCTGCATTAAAATATTTTTAATGGTTTTAGATATATATTACAGAAAAGAGCGAGTGGGAAAGTTTTTATAACAGACGATGATGGCGGCAGCGGCACCAATACCTCGACTTTGCTTTAAACCAGTGTTTCTCAACCTTGACAATTTTAAGGCATGTGGACTTCAACTCCCAGAATTCCACAGCCAGCAATGCTGGCTGTGGAATTCTGGTAGTTGAAGTCCACATGCCTTAAAATTGTCAAGGTTGAGAAACACTGCTTTAAACTGATCCTAAGCACCGCATAAAGGCTGGCGCTATATAAAGGAATTGAAGCTGGTTCGTCTTCAGCGAGTCCGATTGGGAACCCTTGATGAGGGAGCTGCTTCTCGGCGGAGGGCTATCTCGGTGACACCAAGAGGGAGGGAAATTCTGTCCGTCGGGAAGTGAAGCTGGGAACTGCTGATTGTGTCGGTGGGGGGCGCTAAGCGAGGAAGATGCTGCTGGTGCTGTCGGAAGAGCACAAAGAACACCTGGGCTTCCTTCCCCAAGTAGAGAGCTCAGGTAGGAGCACTTCGAGGGCTTGCAGGGCTCGTCCATTCTGACTTGCGTGGCTCCGGGGACCGCGGGCCCTTCCTCGCCCAATCGCTTGCATTCCGCGGGGGAAGATGGAAAAGCGCCTGATGGGATATAATCAGTGTTTCTCAACCTTGACGATTTTAAGGCATGTGGA